AGCTGACTGGCTAATACTTGTAGTAACAACCTAATACTCCCATCTCTTTCAAAAGGGGTTCACTGATTAAGTCAAAAGGCAAAGACCACAAACCTGTGAGAGATTAGGCTATCTCATCTGCATTATTTATAAACATAACTTCTTTATTCTTTCATTTTGGCATAATATAGTCCGTATTTCACTTCAATGCTTCTTTGATTTTTTCTTCATTATAGTAACTAATATAGTATGTAATAAAAACTGATTGAAAGGCTCTAAATGTATTATACAACTTTTACATGTTTTTTGACAACTTTTACATGTTTTTTGACATTTTTATGTAGCTTTTACAGGAAACTAAAGATTAAGTACAAACAATGTAGCTGAATTTGGTATTACGGCAAATCTTCAGCTGAAATAAATTACTGTGGCTTAAATGATATTATCATGAGAAATTACACCAGCTGAGAATCTTGAACTCTATATACAAGCTCTGTTAAAAAGTTAAGTTTGTTACCGTAAGATAATGGATCAACCCTAACCCCCAAATCAAAACAAATTAAAGACTTCACTAGTATCATGATTTTAAATAAGACAATACTTTGACACTCTAATACAGGACAGTCTCTGAAACTGACCTCTTAGATTTAAAATTTCATCATTGCCTGAGTTTAGCGTAGACCAAAGCATAGTAGGTGAGAGACTTTTTTGGAAGATGTTTTGCTTATTTTCATCATGTGAAGACTCCCTACACATGTCTAAGCAGCATAAGCCAGTAGGCTATGCCTGTTTCTTTCACATACTAATCAGCCTGTGGAAAACCTTAAGATTAAGTATTTGACTACTGAGTCCAAAGGACTCTTCTCTGGCTTTTCATTATCCTAACTAAAAAGAGAAAGACAGTGAAAAAGCAGAGTCCTGGGAAGCTGGATTTGCAAGATCTAACAACTGCATGTAAAATAAAATAACAGCATTCCCTAATGGGAATGATGCACTGTAATTAAAAGCTTTGGTAATACATTAGATGCTGTAAAACCATTAAAATCATGCTTAAACATCAATTTACAAAATATTATTATGAACAGGCCTTAAAGAGTTTTACGTCTCTTGATATAACTTTTAGATGCTGTAAAATACACTGAGATTTGATCATTTAGAACTGTGTACAAACAGAGACAGTAACTTTTTGCTGGTTTGATGGAAAATTTAAAAATCTGACTTTTCTTTACATATGATGCAAATGATTTAAGAAATCAAGATCACTTTTAAACATAAAAAGAACAGTGGAAGTCCTTTTACAGGATGGCATCATTTCCTTGTAAATCATTAGCAAATGACTAGCAATTCAGTTTGTATAGTTCTTTAGGTAATGAACTTCATTCACACTAAAGTAAATTATTAAAAAAGCATTAAAAGCCACCCCATGCTTTTTACTCCAACTTTCAACTAGTAAAAGTATGTTTATTGATCAAAAAGATACTTTTTATACCACTATAGTATTTTTCATCATCTGTATATTTGTATCTCTTCAACACAAAGTACTGAGAACATTCTTGATGACAGAAACACTGACCTGTTCTGATGGCATGCTACAGAATTTTGATCACAGTTTATGTATTTTTTATTCTTTCCATAGTAAAACTACACACAGCAAGTTAAATTATCCAATAGCTAGTAAAAATACTCAAAAGGATAAAATGTCTGATAACATACACTTACATAGCTTATTTCTGATTGCATAGATTTTGCTTTAAAATGAAAATAAATCTCTACAGAAAGATCTGCCTTAATTTATCACAAAATTTAAAGTTTTAAAATTTAGAAAGAATGAAGTGTAGACATTAAAAAATTATTCACATAACAATGTCACTATCTGTCACAAAATAAAAATCTTTACTGAAAATTACTACAAAGTTATCTGCTACACTGATTGCTTGAGAGCATCTACTGCCTTTTGTTTAGAGTAATTCTTTGGAAAAAATGTAATACAGCCTGACAAAGATTTGTTGTTCGATGACAGGGAAGTAATTTAACATTTTTGTTGCTCAGTCACATATAGACAATGAGGAAATTACTTACAGTGATCCAAATGTACTGAAAGTTACCCTAAATTCAGATACTTAGCTGTTAATTTGATCAATTAAATTTCACAAGAATTTCAGATCTTCTGTTAAATGCACTACTTTGTTGATTATTGAAAGTATCAGTCTGGCCATTATTTTTGAAAATAAAATACTATAGAGCAACTAGAGCAGTCAAGGTTTAGTTCAGGCTACAGCAGTATATGGGGAAAGTAAATTTTATTTATGATTTCACCTAAATATCTGAAAAAGACTTCAGAAAAAAATAATAAATAAAAATGTTTTATTTCAAACAACAGAAAAATATTGGGACATATGCTAACATACATGTGCTCAAAATTAAATGAAATACAGGACAGCAGGTGGCACTGGCAACATGCCAAGCTTTAAACAGCTGTGTTAAACTGTTAAATATAAATAAAACTGATTAATTTTGTATCTGTCTTTACTGGGAAGTTATAAATGTACAGACCACAAACTCTTCTTTCACAAAACTCTACCCTTTGGTATGTGTTCTCTGATACTGCTACTTACTATAGTTTATTAAAGTAGTTACATAGACGGAAGAACTAACTTCACAGGAATGTATCAGGACAGGACAAGAGCCAACTCGAAATAATTGCTGCAGAAGAAATTCCATATGCACGTAAGCAAAAAGATCTTTCCCTTGTGAACAATTAACACTGGGAGAGGTTGTCCACAGAACTTGTGGAATCTACCTCACGAGATTTTTTCCGGATTGGGCTAGACAGGGCACTGGGTAATGGAGTCCGTGGCCCTTTCTGTAGTAAGAGGCTGGACCAGATCATATCCAGAAGTTTCTTCCAATCTAGGTTGTTCTGTGACTCAGAATGGTCAGGCTGCACAACACAGCACCAAGAAGCCCAGACACTGCTTCAAGCCAGCTGTTACATGCATATGGGCAGTAAAAGACCCTCTGTAATACTGCTGCAGCTAAGAATTAACAATATGTTATTAGTCAGCTTTTTACAGCTTCCAGTTCAAGACCTGGCCCACTTGGTGTTGCTTCAAATGTGGTAATACACCTCTGTCTTTGAAGACGTGCTTCTGTTCTTTGCACACCATTCAGCCATAATAAAGAAAAGCCATTCTTCATACAGGCCAAAGAGAAACTGACATGCAAGCAGAAACTTGACACTCAATACTTACATTCTCTAACCCAAGAAGGACCAAGAGGGGGATAGTTGTCATTCCTCCCTGGATCCACTCTTCTAGAGAAACAGTGCCATCATGATCGTAGTCAATCTCTTCCATCATTTCATGAAGGATCTACATGGTTGAATGAAAAAAATCTCCTAAGTTCCACATTTCAATACAGATCTCCAATTCCCTCATCCACATGCAAAGAGAGCAAAATATTATTTGTATGGCACCTGTACTAAAATGAGTACTGACACTTCTGAAATTGAAGTGCCAATAGTCTTATTTGAATTTTATTATCACCTAAAGTTCCCAAAATAAGTTGTGTCCCTTTATGTAATCTACTACGTACAATACAAAAATGAGGAAGTTACCTTCAAGACATTTTTATTATAGAATAAATAGTTATGTTATAAATGTTAACTACTGAAACCACTGACGAAAAGCCTTGAACTGTAGCAAGAATGTTTCACAGAGCGGGTTTACTTTATAAAAGTGCTAATTGACAGGATTATACAGGAGCACAGATTATTACTATTTTTATCTTACTAGCATATAGAATAACACAGACATCAAGTATCACAAAATTATTAAATACTATATCTTGCAACATTAAAATCTTGTGATAAAAGGAATGCTTACTGGACTCAGTTCAGTAATATCCCATTCAAGGTATTCCGCAACATGCATCATTTGAGCAATGATATTTTCCAGCTCCTGCAGATCAAAGAATGAAAATTTTAATGCAATATTAAGACAAGTTCTACTGAGAGGAACTTAAAATTAAATATATTGCATTCAGTGACACTGTTTTGTCCATGTTCCTAATTAAATGTCCTTTACACTGGAACTTGTCCCCTCTTAGATAAATCCAATTAACTAGCAAAACACCAGGCGTGGACCACAAAGTAAGCAAGGAGTTCAAATGCAGCTCTACAACCAAAGGACAGCCTCTGGGTTGAAAGCCATAGTAGTTCTCCCTTCCTGGTTTTTCAGTCAACTATTGGTTTCATGATCCGAAGTTCACCCTCTGATATAATGATGTAAAGTCCTTTAAATTCCAGCACTCTAACAAACTGGATTTTTGACAGCAATTGCCTAGATCATAATTTTCTCATGGAAACAAGACATAAAGTGAAAGGTAGAAACTAATACAGAAATATTTTCTTACCATTACAGTGCTGTAATTTCCCTTGATCATGTATCACTAGTGCTTTTCCATATTCATACATACAATTTCCCCCTTTAAAGACATCTTTATAAATGGTGCTTTCACATACACCTCCCAGGATCATAGTAGAATTTTAGGAATCATATTACTGTATCCCCTACACTAATATGATTAAAAATCAGAAGACTATAGAATAGGACTCCATTATAGCAGTGTAAGCATTTGAAAATGTACACAGTTGTAGAAGCAGCAGCTTAAAGGGAAAGAAAAATCAAATCTTAAAAAATGGGTGGCTTTTTATTGACTATAGTTTATTCTGCTTCTATTAATTCACAACAAAATATATATTTGATGTGGATTATTGCAGTTTTGTATTCCATTATGACACACTTGTACAGTGCATTATAACACATAAATAACATTACCGAACTATCCAGGTATCCATTTCCATCTGTATCATACAAGCGGAACATAACTAGGAGGTAAAGAAAAAAGAGACAAGATACTCAGTTAGAAAATGTAGTAACAAAATTATTTCCTTCAAAAAAACAAAACAAAACAAAAAACCCTAAAACCAAAACACAAAACAATCAAACCTGAGTTTCAAAAAAGGAAAATCATTAACATTTTATTTTAGAGATCACACTAACTGACCAAATACTTCACGTGAGAGGTTCACTCAGCGACTACCCTGCCCCACTGCCCCCAACAAAACGTATTAGCGGAACAGTGTAATTGCACCTTTTCCACATAATAACTCCAACTCCTAATTTGGACTGTGAACTTCATTCTGGTTCCTTCTAAAGATTATCTGGATTAATAGTGAGTAACACCAAAAGGACCTTCTCTGTCATTTCACCACAGGATAACACACAACTGGTCAGGTAAATGCTGATAAGCCTGATTACATTGCAATGCTATCCTACTCCCTTGTTGCAGCTATTCACTATTCAATGGTGACACTGCTTTTAGTAATACTTTCTGACCAGAAAGAGGGGATTATCATTTGAAGAATCTGATCAGCCAAATCTAACAAAACACAATCCTCACAGCCTGCCAGCATGAATCTGCCCAGGCCAATAATTGTTTCATCAATTTAAAATGCATTCTCAACATTTTGGGGAGCTACCCAGACAAGAATAACTGTATGTTGACAATATCCAGAAATAATATATACTTTCAAGTGTTATCATTACTTGATTCCAGCCACAAGATAGGATATGTCCACCATTACCACAGTATGTCAAAGCAGCTTACTCAGCTGATTATATACTGCACCAGATGGCAGAACAGAAAAACTCCTGAAGCTTTGGTAGGAATACTGCTAAAAGGCTAAAGATAAAAAAAAGCCTACAAATATCTCACTCTTTGTCCCTACTTTCTGGAAGAGTTTGTCAGAGCTCTGAAATATAAACACAATCCCCTTCAAAAGTGCTCATTTTTTATCCCAAGATGTATTTTTTAGTGAGGTAGAAGAGATCCCATGTGTAGGTGGTTCCAGGACACTGTAATGCAAAACCCAAGCAATCCGCTTTACAAACTCTCTTATTAGATATATTTGGAAACATAACATGTGACCTATTCAACAGAGAACAATCCCTCCATGCTGGATCCACAGCAAATGTTGTTAGAGTCCAGTAAATTCTTCAAGCAAAGCTTATCATACTTTTCAGGAACCAATATAATGAGGAGTGAGAAGACATTATTAACAATTAAAAGTCAAGTTCAGAAATAACTATTATTTCTGACTTACAGAAAAACATATTTAACTGGATTTATATGGATTGACTTGCTTCCCTTGCATCCTCCATCTTATTCCCACGTTATTCATCTAGCTGTGGGGAAAAAAGGTAAGTATTGTACCTCTCTACTACTTCAGCATTTTTTGCCACTATATTACACTGCTCTTAAGAGCTGTAATATAAATTTGAAGGTATTTCTGTAGTACATTGTTTCAAGCTACAAAGGTCCATTATTCAAAAGTTATAAGACAACCTATAAAAATATCTCTTTGCCTGTGAATTACATAGCAGAAATATTTCAGTGTAAAACAAGAGTTAATACTGAAAGCCACAAGAGACTAGTACTGTCCCTGGTACTGCCTTCTACCAAAGCCACTCAAAGCATGACAGCTAATATTATCTGGCAAAGGTACCATTAAGCATTCACAGTTTTCATAGGGATGAGTCACTGAATCAGTCAGTGATAAAGTTCAAATCATTTGGTTCTCCTTCCTCCTATTCTGTAATTATAATACACTTGTTGAAAGAACATTACCACGGGAGTGAGTTTTAGCATCTCCTGATCTTTACTCACTCCAGAGAAGTAGTGTTTACCACTTTTTTCCCCTTTAACAAGAATCAGAAGTTCTAATAAAAACAGATATTAGCATAATTACAACTTTTTCACCTTCGTAGCAAACAAAGTCTCTTTAATTACGTATGTACTGGGTAGTGAAAAGGCTCAATCTGTACCCCTGGCTAGACTCAACAAACTATGCTGCTGGTGTGATGTGCAATCTCTTTTCTATGCATACCCTGCTAAATGTTCATGTTCTTGCTGATATACACGCTCCAGGAGAAAAAAACCACAACAACTACAACAAAAAACAAACCACCAAACAAAACCCCCCCAACAAAATTATAAAAACACCTGAACAAAAGTTCTTACAAACTACAGAGCCCATGTCTCATGAGACCCCACCTGGAGTATCATGCCTTCAACTTTGAAAATTTAAAAACAGAATTTTGATGGCTTCTTGAAATAAATATATAAAATTAACTTTTAAAACCCACAAACAACAACATACATTCTAGCTTATCTTCAGGTCTTCCTCTTTCCAGCAGAGACAAATAGCAAACAATATCCTTCAGCTGGATCATGTCTGGTAAATGTAAGTTGGCAGGAGTAGGAGGTCGGGATGTAGAAGTACCTTTGTTAAGTCTCAGACCTGGAAATAACACATAGCCTTTGTTACTCTTAAAATATGATATAAGCAGAAAATGAACTTAACTCGTGCATACATGCATCTTCATTTCATGTGAATCTCAGATGAATTCTTAATTTAAATATAAATGTGAAGTTTTAAACAAGTCAGGTTCATAGTTTATCCAGTAAAGGCAGAATGTAAATGATAGCGAGGTTTTAAAATATTACATGCATAAACAAAGCTACTGAAAAAAAAATAACTATAAGAACAACACAACCCTTTTTATAGTTTGTGTTCTTCTGATGTCATATGACTAAAAAAAAAAAGTGATTATTTTTATTCTACTATATTACATATTAGTTTACGTATTAAAACAATCCCTGCCCAACACTGCTTTCAATTCCTTGTGATTGCAGAAGCTCCATCTAACTTACAGATTGACACCAGCTACACTTTTTGAAGATGTTTGTGTCAAAGAAAACTCAATAATACCCAAGTGCGTAGTCTTCCCAAAAGCACACTCAAATGTGTCAGAGCAACACATTTAAAACATGAAGCCTCAGCTACAGAATATTATAAACACAGAATTTAAATAGTAGTAATAATAATAATTGTTCAAACATTGTGATCCAGTTCCAGTACCACTTGTATTCCAAGGTTCAACATTGCCTAACTTCATGTTTCAAGAGAATATTAACATATTCTGATTCTATAACTGAAATCTATGAGACCAATAAACAGAGGAAAAAAAGGAATAACTGGAGAACACAGACAAAGAAGTAATAAAAATTTCTTTATGAGTTTGTTACATTTCTCAGTGACTTTAGTAATGTTAAAGATTAAACTTTACAAAAAGATTTACTGTCCTTAAATATTTTCTCTAAGTAATGCAAAATAGATTCGCCATTGCACAAATAAACTGCACACATAATTTCTCTCATCCATTTGTCTTAAGTTAATTCCTGCAGCAAATGGAAACAGAATTCTGGTAGGTTTCCCTCCCCATAATTTTATTTTTTAAAACTTCATTACTGTGCAAAGACATTTTCAATGGTCTACTGGGGTACACATGTTTAAAAAAATATTAAAAAAGAACAACTTGCCATGCAGAAAATATTTCTGAATGAAGTTCATGTTCATGGTTTCAGGCAAATAATAAATACAGAAAGTAAATATTTACATTAATTAAACAATTCAATAGGGCAATGTTCTACTAAATGAGCTTGCATGTTGGTTAAGTGCCCTTAAAATTAAGACACTGAAAAATGTTAATTAAGATGCTAGCTTTAATCACATAATTTACACAAAAATTTGGCATTCCAGTCTTATGTGAGTCTGATGCTCAGAATAAGAAGTAAAACTTGGGCTAACTCGTCTCAAAAAGGTATAGTCCTGAAATGAAAATGAAAAGGCTAACAAAATCACAGGTATCTTTTAGCTTATAAGCAGCTACAGGGTACAGGTTAAAGTATTACTTCTTAATCAGAGGTGAAAGAGGGATGGCTGAATGTGCTGACTTACAGATGACTTACAGTGCTGCTGCTTACCTGGCATCTGTTTCCATCTCTCTTCAGACACCTTAACTGAAAATACAATTTATAAATAGACGTGAGTTGATCAAGAGACATTAATAAAAAACACACACCAGAGATTTACAAACCCTGCTACTTTCCTTGTGATCTTCTCTAGCTTTCGTGTACCTTTCTATTTTCCAGAAGAATGTCAAATGTTTCTGTCATTTTATTTTTTCCAGTATGGTAATTTTTTTTCACTATTGATAACATTAAAACTTCACTAGATATGCTAAAACAAAGGCTTCTGTAATTTTCATTTGCATCAAAGTGTACCACTGCACACTTTTCCCCTTTAAATTCTACAGTTTATAAACATCTAGTAACATCTAGTTGAATCCTCATGCAATTGAACTACAATAAGACCAGTATATTTTCAAGCACAAATAACTTGCATGAGGTGAACTGCACTGTATTTCTGATCGTGCTTTAGATATTACTACTAAACAGTCCTTCTGATATTACATTAAATATATAGGGAAGACTATTAATCTGGTGTGATGTTACATTATTTCTGAAGTCCTTACTAACAGAAAAAGATAAAAATTATCTACAAACTGGGAACAGTGAGTGAAGGAAAGAAAGAAATAGGACAAAGTGTTAGAGAAAGAAAACTAGCATACAGTTTAAACAACAATAACAACAAACATAATGACAATAAAGTATTTTACTACACATAAGAATAAAATTTAGCAGAGAGAATTACAGTAAAAGTTAAGAAAACTGACTATGGCCTATACTGGGCAGAATTTACCAGCTGTTACCATTTCTACATACCAAGTGTCAAAAACATAGAAATACAACACCAGAATGATAAAGGATGATTTTTTTAAATAATAGTAGTCAGCCAACATATGTAAAACTACATTATAATAAGTATGCACCACTAAATGGCAGCTGCTATTGGAGTTACCAGGCCAAAAGTGTTAAATGTAAAAGAGACAAATTTTGGCGGCTGGTACTATGTTTACTGCTGATGCAACTCACTGATGAAAACATAACAAAAACTTCAACAAAAAATTACAGGTAATGAAAGTGGAAATAAAATTGTGCTGCTGAGACTTAACAGGCAACTAAATCTATATTCATAGTTGGAAAAAAAAATGCAATGCTAAAAATTTATGACATCCAAAAGACGCCCTGCAGCATATAATAAATAATATATTTAGACATGCCATTAGAAATTCTGTTGCAAAGTATCTTTAAGGGCAAGAGACTGAATTACTGGTCTAACAGATTTGTCCAAACTGGTGAGTAATCAGTAATCAGAGCTGTAATTACCAACAGAAGATTTTGAATACTCCACACAACTGATTACATTACAGTCTACTAAGCCCACTGTTCTGTACATGGAACCAACCTTGTTAACTAACAACAAAAACCCAAGAATTTGGAAATGTGATGTCCACACAGCAGACATATGTGGAACGAGATGGGCCCACAGCAGTTGTGATTAGAAAGGATAAAAATAGATACCTGAAGATTTCAATTAAAATGAAATTTTTAAAAATGAAGAATCATACCTTCAATGTGGTCGGCAAGCTTTGCTAGCAGAAAAAAGTTTTTGCTATTAAGTCTAATTATAGTTCATTATTATTATTATATGGATACATTATTATAATGTAATATAGTTCAGTTGGTTTGTTCCTTTTTTTTTTTGCTAGGAAATCTAAAGCTAAGAAGTAGAAAAAACAGATACTGTTAAACTTAAAGAAAGAAAAATAACTAAAACCCATCTGCTTAACATACTGAGAATGGCATGCACTAAAAAACAGGTCAGACTCAATGTATAATATCTGAAAGCCTATAATAAGTGTTGTACACTGAGGCATCTAAGGAAATCTAGTGTTTGGTATCCGAAAGAAGAGCTAATGTTGCAGCTAGTAGCACTTGAAAAAAAAATCACAATGAGTTGCAATCTGAAGACACCTAATCTACATAATCAAGAATTCAAGCTTTTAAGTACCCATCAAACTATTTGGTTACTCGCTCTAAGTGCTTGATTATCCCAGCTGTTCAAAACATGGAATTTATTTCATTAAATTAGTCTAGCTTCTGCTTCTTTCTAGCTCTGGATTTTGATTGAGTTCCCAAATTGCTAAAGTAATATACCAAATATTTCAAGTTAGGAAGGTAACCTTAAATTTCTTCTGCAAATTTAAAAGTTTTACAAGGTTTTTTGACAGTTTTTAAAACTCTTTTGCATGGAACTATTTTAACATGTTATGTCCTCTGAACTCAAAATCACTTTTAATAAAAATGTTCAGTTTAACATAAAAATTTCAAACTGCATTAAGTATCCTTACATCAGGAAAAGATGATCAGACAGTGATCAGACATTTAAAACATCAGTGGCTGATAATTATGCAGGATTACTAACAGCAGTGTCACACCTAGGCAGTTAAGAGAAGCAGCAGTGACTGGGCAGAGAAACTGCAGAGCATCAGCAGGACTCCCCTGCATGTAACTCTGACTGTTTCTAAAGTGTTTATACAGTACTGTAGGCAGGAAAATCATGTAACCAGAGCAATTTCATTAGCGTTAACATGACAAAGACTGTCCACTTGGTGTCTCAGCTGTATCATTATTGTGAATTACACAGATAAAACTATTTCATTTCCATTTCTTTTCACAGTATTTCTTGTTCATGATTGAGCTAGTTTCCAACTTCACAAAAATCAGAATAAAGAAATATACCATATATTTTGAGCTATTACAAGTAAAATAGAAAGGGGAGGGAACCTTCAGCTCTTATATTACTGTGATTTTATTACTTACCTCCAGAAAGGTGCTGTGGTTTGTTTTTTATTAATGGGCTGCAGTGCGAGATTTTGCTGCTAAATGATGTAAAAAGATGCTCAACGAAATCATCAGGTAACTCTGCCTCCAGAAAAGTCTTCATGAAAAGCTTGAACCCTTCTAAATCAATTGTCTAGAGTGAAAAGGAAAAAAAAAAAAAAAAGAAAAAAAAAAAAGGAAAAAAGTTAAATGTACTTTGAATTGTTTGCTTTGCAAAAACATTCATACTAATCCATCAAGTAATATTCAGCTAACATAAACTTCAGATTGTCTTTAAAAATACCTATTTCTGAAGATACAGCAGGGGCATACCTACTCTTGGAAGTAACTCATTATTGAATTAAGTATTAGTTTGAAAGCTCTCAATGTTGCTGCAATATCCCACAGCACAGTGTAACGTAGCCCAGAGAAAATTCAGAGCACTTGTATCAGGACCCTGAAACTAAGCTCCATTGACTCTAGTTTCTTGATCATGATATGGCTTAACAGCATATAAAAGATTGAAATCAAAGGCACCTATGGAGCTCACAGGGATGTACCTAGCAACTCCTAGCTTTTCCCACAATTAAAAAGACAACGAGCAGTGGATTTCTGGATGTTTAATTCAGAGAATTAAAGGCTGTCTGTCTTTTTCCCAGGTGGCAACACATTTTGCTGGTAATCATCAAAGTGAAACTAAACATCCTGTCTTCAATAGGTTCTAATAGTGAAATGAGAATACCAAGACACACAACTTCATTTACAAAGAAAAAAAAGTTGTTGATTTTAAACAGTTTTCATTTAGGCTAGTTTGGTTTTTCTTTTGCCAGCAAGTTGAGAGCTGGTAAATGAAACTTCATTGATGCTTTCTCCTGTTAAGACAGCACTGTGTGTTTTAAGTAATAACATGAACCATAGACAATCTCAATTTGGAAGGGACACTTTGGAACATGGATTTCTCTCTTTCTGCCTTTTTTTTAAATGTATTTATGAGATGTATAAATTTTATGTCCACATGAAACAATGTGCTTCCCATCAAGGCCAAGACTTAACTGCCTCAGGGTGAAGTTTTAAACATTTATCACTGTCTACAAGGGACCAACAACACATTGCAAAATTTGACAGATCTTGCGTAAGTCATTATTATTATGAATAATAATAATAAAGAAATGTTTCCACAAGGCTCAAGCTGGGCAAAAAATGAAAATTATCAGCTTGGACATGAACTTGCTGTCTTTGTCTCATTACAGAGTTTCAGCAACCATAGTCTAGTTTGGCAAAACTGTTTGACTCATACTACAAACATTACCTTTTTCTTTAATAATAAAGTCACTGACATTTAATTCACTATTTATAAATGATGATACTACAATAGCAAGAAGATTCATATCAGCATCCAAGTAAATCGGTCTTTAGTTTATACTATATACATGCCTTTTTTTTTTTTAAATCTATAACAAATACATTGATCAGTAAATCAAATTACTTGTGAAAAAAATAAATAAATGTGAAAGTGTTTTGTAAGCTGGCAATGTGTGACTGCAGCCCAGAAAGCCAACAGTATACTGGGCTGCATCAAAAGAAGCATGACCAGCAGGTCAAGGCAGGCGATTCTTCCCCTCTACTCTACTCTCTTGGGACTCCACCTGGAGTCCTGTGTCCAGACTCTTGGAGCAAGTCCAGAGAAGTGTCATGAGGATGATCAGAGGGCTGGAGCACCTCTCCTATGAAGACAGGTCAAGAGAGTTGGGGTTGTTCAGCTTGGAGAAGAGAAGGCTCCGGGGAAACCTTATAGCAGCCTTCCAGAACCTGAAAGGGACCTGCAGAGAAGCAGGGGAGATATTTTTTACACGGGCATGTAGTGGTAGGACAAGGGGTAATGGCATTAAATTGGAAGAGGGGAGATTTAGATTAGACATTAGGAAGAAATTCTTTAGTGTGAGGGTGGTGAGACACTGGAACAGGTTGCCCAGGGAAGCTATGGATGCCCCATCCCTGGAAGTGTTCAAGGCCAAGTTGGATGGGGTTTTGAGCAACCTGGCCTAGTGGGAGCTGTCTCTGCCTACACAGGAGGGTTGGAACTAGGTGATCTTTAAGGCCACTCCCAACCCAAACCATTCTATGATTCTGTTAAATGTGTCTGAACTATTTCACTAAATCACAAAGAGGAATAACCAAATTAAAAAGGAAAACAGGGAAACAGGTTATAATCCCACTGAATTTCAGGTTTATGGATGGACTGTAACAGCCCTGTGACAAGGTTGTTGCTTATATGAAAAAAAACCACAAAATCTGTGATTCTACTAGTCTGTAGCTGAAAAACATTTTAAGAGAAAAACATTTTAGTCTACACACTGGAGTGTAGATTATCCTATTAGAACTGAGCTCTGAAGTAATGCAGTCATTCATGGGAATGTTTTTGTGAATCTATGTACAGTAAATAACAGAACTGATCTAAACTACAGCATATGTAGAAGTAGTTCAGATTATCCATCTAGTTTTCCAATGAAAAAAAGGTTACCTTTCAAAAAAAGCTCACTTTAAATTACTTACAGTGCTTTCTCTATTATTTCTCTCTCACTGTAATATACAGAAGCCATTACATAGCTGTAGAAAAATGGAATAGTAAATCTTGTAAGGACCACTGTATAACACTTAAAGGTTTTAAGAGTATTACCACCGAATAGAGATTTTAGTATTGAGTACGGTCCATTTAGAATGGAACACTTAAATATGCCAAACATTTGTTCATCTTAATTTGAAGTAACTTTTACAGAAGACAGAACAGCACACAATATTATGAACATTTCTCCATTTTACAACTATACAGCATTCTTCTTCTTTCCTCATGGAACTTCACCATTCTAAAACATGAAAATGCTTCAGTAAGTAACTAGTCATCCTTTAATTACTAACATTTCCACCCCCAACTCAGCTACTTTTCAAAGGAACCACACAATGTTTTGGCAACCCAAAACACAAAAAATGAAAGTACAGGACATTAATTTTCCACAGTAACACAGATCACACTCAGTCTGCCATGTAAAACCATGGTATCTTCCTTTTTACATTTCATTATCACATAAGAACGTTTCAGATGAAAATTCCGATAAATATTGATATGGTTTGAAAAAAACTTCTGTTAATGAATTTGCCAGTATTAAACAGTTCAGATCAATAATATCAGAATAATATGTAATCCATAATGTTGGATGTGTTTTCTTAAGCATGCAGGCTAATTGCTTTATTTTTGCTTGGCTTCCAGAAGCTCCAGTTGAATTAAAATTAACCTGAGATAGAGGAATTTAGCATTTCAGAAGGTATTTTCCATGACATTTCTGAAGTCAGGGGATGAGAACTAGAGGGTATGTACCAAACCGACTACAATCAACCTGGCACATGAATTAATCAATTCCATTTCACAAGAGACCATCAAGGCACGGGGGGAACTATGACAAGAAGTTTAGGGATCTCAGGAAAATTTTCACCATTAACAGGGAGGTATATAAGGTCATAGTTGAATCAAACAATTCTTATACAAAGGAACATGAAAAACTTTCAAACAATTAGGCCTACTATTTTTTTATTTTTATTTTTTTGGAGGGTGGAATAAAAATCTGTGCTGTTTCAGCTTTGATTCAAATAGAAAAGGCACAAAAAGCCTCACCTGTAGGTCAGAGAAAGGTAGGTAGTTTCATATTAATCATATATAACTGAATTCCTCTTTTTTAACTGATTCACCATGTGTACTGGAGCACCTTTTCTTATATCTTACAAATAAACCTTAAAAAACACAACTTTATAAATCTTTATATTCTTCTATATTATTGGGTAATGAAATATTTGGTAAAGAAGTATTTTTATATAAGACTAGAGAAATAGATATTAGAAAAATCAGTGAGTTTCAGCTAATATAAACCATATCAAATTAATTTTACTACTATTGTATTATTCTTGCTATGATAATTTCCCGTTTTCTCAGTGTTACCAATTACCTAAAATTAAAATAAAGTTATATACCCACCTTGAAGAAATGGAAAGGAGAAAGGACCGAAGACAGAAGCAAAATGGCACATTTTTAACTTTTAAATTATTTTTAACAAATGAGTCAACCATTAAACATTTTTTAGCTTTTCTGAAAGCAAACATGAAACTGGATTCACTATGACTCAATGTAGAGGAAAATTAAAATTACTCTTGAGACATTTCAACCACATCTAAAGGCAAACTACTTGCAGGAACTGCCAAACACTACTGAGGAAAATAGTGATGGAGGAAAGGAGTTTTTACTGAGTTATAAGGAATAATTTGCACTTATTGGAAGAACTGAGGTAGGATTGAAAAGAAAGTTCCTCCACAGAGCATTATATTTCTCTCTTCCCCAGCTGCTAAAAGCGCCTGGGAAACTCCTTAATGGCTTTGACCAGGCTTTCTGAGATGTTATGCTGTTTTTCTACCATAATACATTTAAAAAGCAAATACTGTAGAAAATTCTTTAGCTTGGGCTTTCATTCTCCTTCTCCACCTTATGAATCTGATCACCAGTCTATCCTTTTCAACATATGACAGGAAATCCTATGACAGAATAGTAAACATACATAAAAAGATACACACAATTACAATCATTGAAAGAGAAAAAATTGTTTATAAAGAATCTTGACTGAAAAGAGCTGAAAGTCAGTAAGAGATTAAAGTCATAACAACTGACAAGATAAACAAATTACGGTTTAATTTATTAATTACAGTCATGGCCACATAAATGGGAACAAGACAAGATCTAGTGTTTGGAATTAATCTGCACCCATAAATACCACATTCTCTTTGGTCTTTTTCTTCTTTAAAATTTGCACAAAATATTTCAACATAAGCCACTGTTTTAGTCATCCTGAAAAACAAATGTAAGAGAGGGGAAAAAAAATAAAAAGAGAAATAGTTCATTTCAGCAGACTTCCATGAAATATGAGTTTCACTTATTAAAAAGAATATTTCAGAGATAATGAGAAAAAAATTATGATGAAGGTAATTTTCAATTAATTACTTTTAAAATTATGTTGCCTGATCTCCAAGTGGCACCAAAAAAAATGTAGTTTAATCAGCTTTATTCTACTGACAGTAATAGTTCTGGGTTATTTTTGTTTGTGGGTAGGTTCCCTTAAGTGATTATTTATTTTCAAACAATTTATATAGACTCAATATCTGAAAAATAAGCTGTTGAAAAAAGCAGTAGATGTTACAGGGCCTTGTATCATATTTAATGCTATGGCAACAATGACACATATTAATGCTGGTGCATTAGCAAAAATTAGATGATTAGCTGTGAAAAGCTAATCATCCCCAGTACGGGTTCAAGTTTTTAAGAGTCATTGATTTTGACAATGTTTCAAAACCTGACTTTTGCCAACAAATGAGGAAACAAAGCAAAGATCATCTAGAGGAGGGTTAATAAGCCAGGAAACATGAATCACATGAGAAGACATAAGTTTTTTGTATTTAGAAATTAATTTTAATGTTCATATGGCAGAAATTCAAATTAGATTTGGAATTTGTCATGGAGATTGCCTTTGTGCACCAGGATGAAGTTTCATTTAAATTGAAAGTCCTTAGCATTTTCTGATCTAAGCACTTATATTTTTTACATTATTAATTTTGAAAGTTTGGGTAACCAAAATAAGTTATTTTTCAATAAAGCAGCATCCAAATTCTCACCTACTGAAATAAAAGTTTGCAGAAAAAACCCCAACAAAACAAACAAAAAAAAACCACCCACATGCTCTCATAGTTTGATCCTACCATGTACTCCATACATCAAATAATATATGAATATTATCAATACAACAGACATATATTTCTGCCAAAATTTTCCCTTTTATGTCTCCTATCAAAAACAATCACTTAATATTTAAGAGCATCTAACACATCTTCAAAGAAGCAAACTCAACAAAACACCCAAAAAGGAAATGGGAAGACTCAATTTTTATACATTAACTACATTTTTAGGCATAACATGGTACTACATTCTCATGCTATTAAAATCAATTTATGGTAATTAGTAAAATAATATACATCGGAAATGTATTCACCAACCACTTCCATCTCATCCCAGTATTATATCCATGTAAGAAAAAAACAGACCTTTACTATCCGCAGGTAGTACATGATTCCTTCTGTATGTGTATGTACGTGCATATATCCATACATACTACACACATAAATACATATATTTAATACAGACATTCAATAAACACATATTTACTATCCAAAGGTGGGTTTTTTTAAGAAGAAAGAGTGCTAAGGCATATACTTTCAGAAGGATCTTGTAGCAGATTATCATCCAGGGTCTGTTTTACAGGTATTGCCAATAAAGACTGTTAGAAGAAATATGCATAAATTACTAAACAAAGTGAAGAGTAGATAGCTTGCATTCAGTCCCAGCAGAATTGGTCATCTGAAACTTAAAATTACTACAGAAGTTAGGAAAAATGGGGTAGGTGGCATGCTTCAGACTAAAACCAAATACACCAGCAAAAACAATAAATCCCTGAAAAATTCCTGTATCTGGCCAGGTAACATAAACAACTGTAGAACTGTCTACAAAAATCATATAGTCTTTTATTGCCCAACTGTTACAACTAGGATGTAAACAAAAAAACACTCTAGCACCAACACATCACTCAGTAAATGCTTTAGAATTCTCACTGTTATAAATTAAACATAATTTAAATATTAAAAGCTATCCTTTTAAGAAAATGTCTTTATTTCTGTTTACCAGAGTCCAAATACCCATTAGTGAAACACCTCTCCCCTGCTATTTGTTTCACAGCACTAATTCAGACATTCAGGATCAAATGAAGGCACAGTGCAATACAATTAAAATTATAATAATTTTAAACACAGGAAAATACTTTTCCATTGAAGTTAAATGCATCGTAGTAGTTAAATATTATTAAATGTATCATCAATGACTAGCAGGTAAGTAGTTGTAACTATTTATGTATAAATATTACACCATTGCACTTGAGCCAAGACGAATCAATTTAAATACTCATTAATGGCAATATAAAAATCAAGAAATACATGAAATATATCCTTTCAGAAGGAATTTATTTCTCTGTTTACGTCACTTTAAGAACAACTCAGCTGATACTTCAAAATGATACAAAAAATATGAGGAAAGCATTCTTCATACTTTATTACTCAGTGCCATAATTGGTACACTATTTATACACTGTTTTAATACTGCTAGAGGAGTTGAAATGCTGTTTGTGTAGTCTGTCACTCTTCAGATAAAACATATTAAAAATAAAATTGATAGCACTGTGAACTCTTGCTTTGTTTTAATTTGTTTTCCTTTAAAAATGATTTAGTTTTAAGCAGCATACTCTTTGAAATGTAATGGTCTGACTTCAATATCAAGACAGCTTAGAACAATTTATTAACTCTAAATACTGGTGGTGGTACCCTAATAAACAGAATTTAAAATATATATTATTTATTATTTTTTTTCTTTTAAAATACTTTGAAACAGTATCTAGTGCACATCAGACCTGTAAAACAATTCTTGAATTTGCCATTTAATAAACTATGATAACTCAACAGGTAAGATGTAAATAAAAGCCATATGAGGCTCCTAAAGCTTAAACATAAGGTACTGTGCAACACAAAAGCATAGAGGGGAAAAAAAAGGATAAAAATGGGATCTTATGGCAGAGAGCGGAAATATCAAAAGGGAAGATATCAAGGAGGGAGAGATGTTAAAATGACTGAGGAAAGAAGACAGAAGGACCACTAAAGATGATAAAAAATGTTTAAAACTGAACAGCTTTGCAGCAGAAAGTGACTATCTCAAACATTTTACACCTCAGTGCCCTCAACACTTTCCACAGAAAGCAGGCTCATAGCCAGACTGCCAGCATCCCTGCCTGGCTGCCTTCCCAACTCTCTAGATATTCAGGAAGCTGTTTCCCTAGATATTCTGCCCAGAGAGCCAGAAAAACAGAGCGCCCAGTGTCTGAAGGGGAGTTTTCGGCCAGTGGTATTTGCAAGTTGTTATTATTTTCTCTTTTGTAGCTAGAAAGATACATCAACCTTTCTTAGTCTTCAGGTTCTTACATGTGAAGGACAGGCTTTTCCTACACAACAGATATTCTGTAATTCTCCACATCTTCCTAACCCTTCTGTAAATTAGTTCAAATTTGAGTTTCCTTTGTTCCATATCTTGGTCAAAAGTGGAAAGATGAGGTTTCTGCAGTACCTTTTAACAGAATACTAAATCTTCCTTATCTGTAGTAGAAATACTTCTTTTTATATATTGTAATTACGCAAGGTCTTTATGGCAAAGTAGTACCTTCTGTACTTCTGTACCTTCTGTACCTTCAAAGAAAACAGCTGAAGGAAACAGCAAAAGAATTATTTCCATCCATATTCCTGTGTATTTGAAATTTTAACTAGTTTTCCACTTACATCAATTGGCCTAAGGCAGCACCTTTCCTTACAAGTCTTTTCTTATTCTCAGACCACCATTACCACAGGAATATTACAATGTCTCAGTAATATATTTCTCTTCTTCATGACCAAACCACAACAATGCTTTGCAATCTTCTTGTGATCAACTACCATACACAGCAATTTATCTAACAATGTCATTAGTCCCAGGGTACAACACTCCATTACTCTGCTCCATTTACTATAGTCCATAACATCATCAAGATTTTCCAGTATAATACTCAGATTTTTCTCCATTTTAGCAATTATTACTAAATTTGGTTTATTGAGTTGATTCTATTAGTATTAACCTACTTCTTTGCATGAGGTTTTTAGGAAAAATACTAATGAGATTAGTCTCAAAACTGGCCACAGACACACTGCTTTAATCTGAACACCCCTTTCAGGACCCATTGCAGTCACTTTGTTAGTTTACTAAAAAAGTAATATTGGTCATCTGAATAAACTTTCCCCTTTTGTGAACACGAGTGTCTGCTCTCAGTAACACACCTCCAATATCTCAACCGGCCTTTGGCCCCAGAAAGTGAGGAGTTCCTACAAAACTAATTCTTTCAGTCCTTTGACTTTTTCATTTTTCTCATGTTCTGGCTATCTCTCCCCAGAACAGTGGAGTAGGAGCTTTTTTAACACCTGCACACTAAAAAGGAAGAACTAGGTCATTTTAAAAAAATAGTTCATTTGATTAGTTCTTCCCTAGCTTTTTCTTTTTTCATTGTATTTTTATACCTAGTTTTAGGCTACTGAAGCTTCTCATAAGGAGAATCTTGGGTTGATGATTACTCTTTAACCATTCCTCTTACAATTGCTGTAAAGTCACAATTGCTTAAAGCACACTATAAGCCTTATTAAAATAATAAAATCTGACATTTTAAGCCTCCTAAATATAAACGGCATTATATGGTTACAGAAACAGTATTTAGTATTTTTTTCTGAGATGTATTATTGTCATTTCATAATAATACAGAAACCATTACGAGATCTCACTAATGAGATGAAATTTCTGTGACAAGTATGGAACAAGTTAATTACTTGCTCTTATTTTTCATACTCCTCTCAATTAATGTTAGTAAAATTATGTACTGTGAATGGCAAAACCAAAATTCACCTAGTGAAAAAGTCTGCCAGCAGAAAGAGTGCACTTTTCTCTCAGCTTTAAATGTTTGTCTGTTTTCTGAGAGAATTATCTCATGCAGTACTTACTAATAAGTGACATCTCAGTGGAAGCCTACAAAACAAAAAGATCCTGCTTCTAAGCATAACAAACAGAAAAAAAAAATCAAAATAAGATTACTTACTTGATTAAGTATATCTTGTTTCTGTAACGCATGCAAAGAAAGAAAGAACACATGTAGATTAGTGCAGTGTCGTAACACTCAGGCTCTGTTTTTGAAGTAGAATTATTCTTGCTGAAAGGTTAGTGATGTAGATGAACAGGTTTAAGACATTAGAATATTCCATTTTCTTCCTTTAGCACATAGGTCAAGAAAATAGTTCTAAGTCAGCATTTTAGTCTTTATTAGGTAGCGCAAGCAATTTATAGTTAACCATGCAATGAAAGATAATGAAGGTGGGAAAAAAGTAAATACAGTTTTTTTCATCCCTGTGTACTTTAACAACTATTCTTGGCAACAATTTTTTTTATCTTTTTCTTCAATGAAGTAACTTAATCAGAAGTTAATGCAATGATAAATTCTACAAATAGATTAACAACAGAAAGAGACGCTCTATCCTTTATTCAATGCAGGGGGAAACAGTGAAAAAGAGGAAAAGGCTGAGGTACTTAATACCTTCTTTGCCTCAGTCTTTAACAGTAAGACCAATCGTTCTTGAATACACAGTCCCCTGAGCTGGAAGACAGGGATGGGAAGCAAAATTAAGCTCCCATAATCCATGAGGAAATGGTTAGTGACCTGCTACACTGCTTAGACATACACAAGTCTAAAGGGCCAGATGAGATCCATCCAAGGCTACTGAGCTGGCAGAAATGCTCACAAAGCCACTTTCCATAATTTATCCTGCAGTCCTGGCTAACCAGGAAGGTCCCAGTTGACTGAAGGATAGCAAATGTGATACCCATCTATAAGAAGGGCTGGAAGGAAGACTCGGTGAACTACAGGCCTGTGAGTCTGATGTTGGTGCCAGGGAATGTTATGGAGCAGATCATCTCGAGTGCCATCACACAGCATGTACAGGACAAGTGTTAGGTTTATAGTTGGACTCAAGGATCTGAAAGGTCTTTTCCAACCTAAATTATTCTAAGGTGCTATAAACAACAGTAAGCAGTGCTGGAAAAATCATCACTGTACATTGCTTTAATTTCCAATAATTCTTTTTCCTTTTAATAAAGGCACCATATCCATTTTCTACCTTTATCACAAATTCCTAACAGTAGTTCCTAGTAAGAGGTAGTATCTTAAAATTATAAATATAGCTTTTTTCTAAGTATAAAACTAACCAAAAGCTAAAATACTAAAAAATACTAAAAAACTAAATATAGTTTTATTTTTAAATCACACCAATTGTGCCAGACTTTTGCTAACTTAAGAGTTACCAGACATACCTTTCAGATGTCCACAGGTTTGTTAAAAAAACCTTAACACCTCCAGAAATCAGGAAGACTCTAAAGAAAGTTCCTTAGAAGCATCTGCACTACTTCCAAAACTGCAAAAACCCTTTGCAGCCGGTAGATAATTGCCTGATAATTAATTGCAGATGATTACCTGACTGCAAACTGTCTGCCAAACTTAGGGCTTCACCTCTCTGGGCACATCAGATCAAAAAATGTGCCTTGTGTCATGCAGTCATTGTCATAACCTTTGTGGAAATTTTAGATGGTAAGAAGTGAAGCAGGTAAACAAAGAATTATGATGCACTCCAACAGATTCCTCAAAAATGTTGACAACACTAAGACTACAAGCACACAGTGATGTGTACTTAACTGCCTATTCAGATACCATCTTTAGCTTCAGCTGCTTTCTTAATTCTTGCTAGCCTATTCAGTGCTCCCCTCAAAGGGAAATGGCTAAAATTAATTAATTCAGATAAATCTCAAATGATAGAAAGACTATTTTCAATCGCACCTTTCCAAGAGGCTGATTTTAACCTACCTATGTCTCTCACATCAGTTATAAAATCTAGTCTTAATTATATATTTGACATTTATGTATAGAACATGGAAAGGCAAAGCTTTCGTAACATTTGTAGAAGTTTTAGTCATCTACCCTACATTGAAAACAGAGAGTAAGAGCTCCATCAATAAACGCCCTATACTGGATGACCTTTTGATAATCAGATATATAATTTTCACTAAGCCAAAAAAACACTCACTCAACAAAATACAAGACAATATGAGAACCAGACTACTTCAAGTAACAAGTTGGGAATACCAATAGCTTTTGTTTTGTTTCTTGTGTCCCATTAAATCAGCTTATGATAAAAATAGGCAATATAAAAGCCCTGGAGTAGAATAAATTCCTGAAGCCTTTAAGCAGGGAAAAGCTTGAAATAGGAAGTTCTTCAGGCTTTTTCTTAAGTACCTAAATACATCACACTGCTAAATCTGCCATAGTACTATACCTCATATTTATTAGTACAGAACTGGCATCACCTTTTGGTAGAATATTGAAAAGATTTAAAAAATACTCAGAGTCCTTATGAGATAATGATCTAGGAAATAAAAAGCTAAACTGGAAACATGACAGCATCTTCTACAAAACACAACAACAAAATAGACGTGCTGTGTATAATACGTGGAAAGTAAAAAGCTGCACTATGATTGATTACAGCTGGATCAGTCATTTCTTGTCATCCCATTTACAAACAATAACTAATTACTTAAATATCACATCCAACTCATGGAGTCCTCATCTGACCAGATACAATCAATTTGCAAACCATTCTGTAAAGATTTTATCCATGAGGCAGTCTGAATGCATGACAAAAATGCAGACACACCTGTGCAAAGGCAGTTCTGTCTGCCTTGGAGTATTCACTCACCTGCAGAGGAAATTTCAGCCACTTTGCTTTCAGTTCAGCAGCTTATGCCATGAAACCTGAGCTAATAAATCCTACAAGATCCAATTCCACAAACAAACTGCTGTGAAATTAAGAACTCTGGGAAAAGTCATACACAATCACAGTCTTCTTTCATGACTAACTGTGTTTATTCATTCCATCTTTGCACAAATTCTGCCAATTGACCTGGCTTCAGTCAGAGAAGTTGTCCCAGGTACCCACACTGATAACTTTTTGCTATGACTCATCCTTCACATACCTCAAAACTATAGGATCTACTTTAAGATAGTAACCTCACAACTTTGAATACCTATTTCTTAATAAACAAACATTAATAATCTGATAATGTGTTTCGTGCATGGCAACATGTTATTTAAATATGCATAAAATACACATTTTGTAATTTAAATATACTTCACAAAATTGAAACTGTTGTATAATGACCAAAAAGTGAAGAATTTCAAGAAAAAATGAGAATAATAAATTAAGACCAAAAGAAAACTATAGAAGCAACCAAGAATGGCTACTTTCTAACAGGAATCACTTAAGGGAAGTCCTACTGCCTATGTAGTATTTGATAAGAAATTTGATGAAGACAGTATTCCAATCCTTTTTTAGTCTATGATTCTACTTAACTAAAATAATAAGATGATCTTTTAAAAGATCAACTCATACTATTTTACTGAATTATGAAATATTTTCCTCAGAAGCTGACTGAAATCACCAACATTATCCTTTGCAAAGTTCAAAGTGTCAAAGAATTTTTCCATGCTTAATGAATTACTTGACAATAATCTGGTCTTTTCCATCCAAAATGTAAGATCAAGTAATTGTCATAATGGTTAACACAGACTTCTAGCCTGAAGCCCACATAGTGCAAGTACAGCTAGAAACATTACTATTAGTGACATTAAGGGAACAGGACTTTTTTTAGCTGCATTTTGAATCGTAGTATTAGGATGTGCCAAGTAGATACAAATTGCAATTAAGGGTAACAAAAGAAAGCAATCTGTCTTTTTCTACTAGCCAAAACAGAGTATTTTGTCTAGCAGCGAATATGTAGTGACAATGCACAAACACACTTTTTTTTTTTCAGCTGGATTTTGTTTCATAACATAAAAAAAAAAAAAGCCCTTTAATAGTGGGGAACCCACTATCATATACAACATAAGAGAAAAATAATTAAAAAAGAAATCTACTCAAATCTGAACAGCTTTTACTTTTCTAACTTTTGAAATTATGCTTAACATTGGGAAAGACATTAGCCTTACCGTAACTTTGGGGTATTTTTGTGTCTGTTGAAATCTTAGAAAATAAAATGTAGTTTAATGTAAATTATTAAGGTCTGTCTAATGACAGGTTTATAAACTTCCAGTTCAAAATATTCATATTTTTATTTTCCAGTTTCAAATACTCCAGCTTATTTATAAAGAATCTTCCATTTCAAATGCAAAGAGTTACTACAACATTTGTAAATAATCCCCTACCCCCCATTTCTGACCATTAAACGAAGCAAAAAGTTAGGAGACTTACCCCTTCAGGATTGTATTTTGCTAACACACCACTGCCATGGAACTCTTCTAAGACATCCTTAATTTTCTTTGTGGAATCTGGATGAAGAATAAAGAGAGAGAAAATTAAAACACAGAAAACTGATTCACATAATATGAACTGTAATTAAAGAAACAACAACTAAACTGCTAATAGCTTTTCTCAATGCAGATTAGTAATTGTCTCTAGCTGTATGAGAGCTGTGGGCACAAAGAAAATGAGAACATACTATCTTGCTGTAAAAATCAGCAAGAAAACTCAAAACATTCAGAAATAAACAGTCTGATTCAATCCTTAACTACTGTTTAGTAGCATTTTTCTGAAGGAGATATTTGCTAGGACTCTTTCAAGTAACTTTTCTTGACCTTGAAACCCGAGTCATCTATGAAACATGCTCATTCCCAAGAACACTACTAAATCTTCTGTGGCACAGCTGCCAGTGACTAGAGGAACTGTCAGAGGAGCCTGACAATATCAAGATAAAAGAGAAAGTTGAAGAAAAAAAATCTTTTTCTGCAGTCATGTCACAGAATATAAACGTTCCCATCGAAACCTCAATATTTACAGACCTCTAAGATATTCTAACTATTGGCAGCTGCAGTAACTTCAGTAATAATTTTGCAAAACAGAACTGTGTAAAATCCCTGCAGTTCAGAAGCACACAGGTCTAACCTTCCCAATTTGCTTTAAATTGTCTATTTGTAGAATAACGAAGCAGTTATTTCAATAAATTGCCACTATACAAAGACCTTAAACTCAGATTCACTTAGTGGCAATCATGCACATAATGATCTTTTAAATATCTCAGCAACAGAACAAAAATAATTGTCACTAAATTTTTTCTTTAAAATGCAGTAGTTGAGTGCATAATAATCAAAATGTGCATAAAGGCCACAACATTGAAACAAACCACGAACTAGTAATTAGTAGGAGATGCATTATATTAAAAAACCAGGTAACTTTGTAGCAGGACAAGACAGTTTTGTCCTGTGTGAGAAAAACTTAATGGCTGTACATTTATTTCTACAACAAAACCTGGAAGGAAAGAAGAGAAACAAGGAGACATCACTTAACATTACACACATTAGGACCTAGTCATATTGATGTTTTAATTATAATAACAAAATATAGCATTGTGATAGTTCTTAAAAGTTAAAGAAACTCGGCACCTCAGCACCTTCACTCTAAAAAAGTAAACCTAGCAAATTATTATGTCACCTGGAAGGAGAAAATATAGCAGCAAAGGATTCAAAAAATAGCTTTGTAACGGTTCTTAACAACTACAAACACCAGTAAAATTTAGTTTTAAGAGGTGCTGGAAGAGTTGTTTTCCCCCCATACACAGTAAATAATGGCTTTTCACAATGTCTGTCATTTTACGAAACTTTCTTAAATGAAAACTCCCAAAACTATGTGTGGCATCAATAAAACATTTTATTTTCACTAATTGATCAGACATATTTCAGTATTACTGTCAACTCTAACTAACAGAGTTCAGGTGGTCTCATGGGTAATCACAGCAAATATTTACTTGATAGTTATCCATAGGCTTATCGCTGTGCCATTTGAAATACAGCACATAATTAGAACTTTACATTTTAAAAAAACAACTATAAAAAGAATAAATCAAGTATGCTAAGAAATAAATTTTATTAAGAACTGTAATTAGAAGCTCAGGAGTTAGATATTTACTGATTAGGACAAGTACACAGATCAATTACTGATAAAAATTCTTTTTAATTTGATCTCTATTAATTAAATACTTTTTTTCAGTAGTCATATACAAGGTTGCATGCAAAAATTATTGCATCTTATGATACTGAATTCAATAATCATTACAGTGGCAGTGTTAAATGAGCAGATACATGACAGAGGTGACTGAGTTTCATCCTAAAAAAGGATTTTTCTGAACATTTGAGGAAAGAGTTAAAACACATCAAATAGAAAGAAAATGAGGTCTCCCCATACACTTTTTATTACACAAAGTATATTACTAAAAAAACAAACAAACCAGAAATGGCCTACTTTCTAGCAGTTTTACAAGTGTCCTGAGATCTTCTCTCAGCAATGACCATGCTCGTTTTATTTCATTTTTTTTTGCCAGATAAATTCTATTCAACTTTAGTATTATGTCTATGCAACTGTAATTAAAACAAAGAACCTGTGTTTTCTTTTAATTTTGTTCCTATTCTTAGTCAAGTATCATTAAGATGGAAAATATTCTCTGTTCCGGTAACAAAACAACTATTCACCTTTTTTGTGCATGCATCACATCCAAAAAGCATAGCTAATTCCATGCTTGAAATAACTGTTAAGAAAAAGGGGTCTGTGGTTGTAAATTCTGCTTTGGTTGTTCCAGCAAAACTCTTCAAGAAGAGATTTCCACAATCTGGACAGGAGCTCTATTTATTACGATCAATATGACACACATTTCACAGCAAGGCAGAACCATTTTTCATAATCTTTTTGTTCACAGTGATTCAATAATTTCTTTTCAGTTCATGTGACAGTATCAAACTATCATGAAGAGAGACCTTTTAAAATGCTATGAAATGACATATTGATATTTTAAGTCCAACATGAACTGACAATTTTCTGCATGTATATTCTTCAACAGTGTTGATATTCCTCAGAAAAATTAATTCTCCTTCCTCAGCCTTTAGTATGTAAAGTAGTATTAGGAACATGCACAGAATCTGTGTTCTCACTGTTACCTCCAAGTAAAGAAGTGCAGTGATGAAGACCCCGCTGCCCTGGGCCACATTGCAACGTCAGCACCAGCCAATATTGTTCTTGCTTTAATTACTAGTGCAGTGAGCCCAACACTGTTCTTGTTTTAACTGCAAGTGCAGTGGGCTGGGACAACTGGGTTGTTTCTGACCTCACCTACCGGAGCAGTGAGTTGAGATCTGGTACAAGTACAGATCTTGATCTGGTACAAGTACAGTGAGTTGGGACACAAGGCACTCCCTAATTGTACCCAGAACTCCTGTTGCTTGGGAAATGCACATGAGATTCCTCCTGCCTGGATCACAGTTCACTCTGAAAGTTGCCAAAATTACCTGACAAGAATTACAGTAAAAAGTACTGGCCAAATTCAATCTTCATGTAATTGTATAAATACTGATCCTACATGACCTCCCTGGAATGGCAGCAGGATGCTACCCTGTATTTCATACAGTGATTCAGACCACCAGCTGGCAGAAGTTACAAAAGGAAAAGAGTTAGGAATTTCAGATCACTCCATGAGAGAAGCTAATGAACGAAAGACAGTGAGTGTAGTCTGAATTCAATCATTAGGTATCAACATTTACTACAATCTGCAAAAAAGGAAACATCATAGATTAACCTCTGTATCTCTCCATGTGTATGCAATTTGATTTAACAGACTTTGTTAAATCTTTAACTAAGTCACTATGTTGATTATAACAAATTGCTGATTATTGACCGAACAAGTTTTGCCAGAAAATAGTATAACCTAGTGTGATTCATCATAATAGTGTTAATGAATCTTAAATTGATGCTACCCCAAAGTTATACAAGATCTGTAATAATATGCTGAATCACTACACTGAAATGCCTGAACCAATAATCCCTTTACACACAAACTTTAGACCAAGTCAGGGACTTGGAATGGATCCAGCCACACCTAGACTCCTCTCTGAGAAAGGAGTTCAGAAAGCAAGGGGATCCATTCTGAACCTCATGACTCAACTGGAGGGCATCCCTCATCCTCTTTCCAAACCTGATCCCTTTGTAAATCACTCAAACTTGATTTCAACCTTTATATGTTCCTTATAGTAAGTACTAGAATGAACCTTGCCACTGAACACTTAAGCTGCACTTTTACCAATCCATATTTAAAACTTTTTATCTAGTATCTTTGATGGTGATTCCTTAAGTGACTTTAAGTCCTTCCACTCTCACACACAAGAAGTTCTGCATAACTTAGTAATTTAGTACTTTGCAAGAAGTCTCAGTAAATTCGTAAGCACCACTCATGTTCAAATACAAATATAGTCTTAAATCTGTTTGATATCGCTTATCTGTTTTGGTTTTTGCTTTTTTTTAAAATCAAGGACAAATTCTTTCTTTGTCTTAAGTCTCTGTATTCCAAGGTCTCCTCAAAAGAGACAGTTTCTAAATATGTGCAGTTACAGTACATAGCCTGTCACTGTGGTGCTTAAATTCCATCTTATCTGCAAAACTATATCTGGCACAGTATGAATTTCAGTAGCTTTAAATAAAAAGTTTGTTTCATGAAACATCTCTCTTTTTTAGTTCTCACCATTTTATTATTTTTATTATCCCCTAGCCTAGTGATTTGGGCACTCAGTCAAAATACTGACCACTTTGAATTCTCTCCTCTACCTGAACAGATTTAAACTCTCACCATTCATCTAGTCTTCTGTTGCGCTTTGGATAGAATGCACTAGTGTTCATTTAGGCAAGGTGGCAGATGGAGAAAAAGAGAAACTGTGGCCCAGGAACCAGAGCTTTCTTTAGATGAGACAAGATGCGGTTTCCCACATCAAGCTCCAGTGAGTGTGGGGCAGAACAAACAGGCTAGGCATGGTGTGGAAGACTGCAATCTGAAAGGCTCTTATTACTAGCACAAGGGAGAAAATTAGCTGGATTGTACACACTGCTGCAAAAATTCTATTAAAAAAAAAAAAAAGACTACAAACAAAAGATAAATACATGAGACATAGACCCATGTTGCACTGCTTCAGAATAAAAGCAAAACAATGAAAACAATGACACTAGAAATAAGAAACCTGCATATGTAACAGTAAAAGTGTCAAAGTGTTCCATTCTTCCCTAACTGCCTTTCAGTCCTAACAAAGATACTTTATATAACTGAAGAAAAATATGCATGCTAAATTCAAAACCATTTAAGATTTAGCCCACATTAAAAATTATGATTTTTTAAAAATCACTCAACTTTGGAAGAGAAAGATCAAGCACTCAGTTGACCTGGAATTTGGTATACCATAACCTCCCACAAAAGGAAAGTTTGCCTAGATCACACACTTTGTCTATATTTTCTCCCTCTCCT